CAACCCTGGCAATTCTGTGATTCTGTGATTCTGTGACCTTCGTGTTGTGAGCTTCCTTAGAATAAAAACAGCAATCTTTTATTCTTGATCTGACCTTGACAGCCTGTTTTAGTAAGTGTGGAGTGCCTTTGACTTCTGTGACTTTCCAGGAAACTTCTAAACGATCAGGTTTTTTTTAGTATCTGCTCTAACTTGGTAATACATATTTACATAGAAGCTCAAACAAAACAATATGCCAGCTGTTGTGAAAAAGGAATCAAAGTTGGGGGTGGGGGTGGGGAAGTTGTGCCATGTTTCTTAATTTTGCAGTATTATAATTTCACCCTCAGTGAACATACGGATGAAGGCAGGAAAATTCCTGCTAGATCTGCATGTCCTTCCTGCATAAATCTCTGTGCTTTCCTTACACAGGATGGCCCTCAGTGACTGAAGCTGAGACTGAGAAAACAGCTGCATTGTACTGCAGACTCAAATCCTGCTACAGAAATAAGCTGTAGGATTCAAGCATGAACTAAGCAGGATTACACAGAAGGGAAGTATAATACTTGATGTGAATTAAAGGTATGAAGAAAGACACATTTCTTTCTAGGTAAGCTACTTTTATTTTTCCTGATGTTTAAATTTCCCGGTTATGATCTCAGATGTGCTAAACCTTTTAAAATAATAAACAGCAAAAATTTTCTATGAAGTATTGTACATGACAGTCTTCTTAAAATCAAGCATATTCCACAATAATCTAAAGATATTTCAACCCATTTGCAGGTATTACTTTAGGGTGGATGCTTTGTTTCCTTATCTTAAAGCAGGCTGTTCTTAACTCACTAGTCTTTCCAAGGTTGAGATTAAGTGCTATAAAACAGTGTAACTTTCTTTCTTTCTTTCTTTCTTTTTTTTTAACTTTTCTTATGAGTAATATTAAACCAGAAAAGAAAGGGTCTGGTGTGGTCAACAGTAGCAGTATTTTAAAAACATGCAGCAAAATAAAAATAAAGGATCACTAAGCATATCATTCTGTTTCCCCAAGATACAGGTATTTCTAATGTATTTTCTTACCTCGGATGTGAATAATCCTCTCATGCTCTAGGCTTGAGTTGTCAGGATGAGGTTCTGCCCAGCAGACAGAAATCAGCACCAGAAAGAGTAGACCTGTCATCTTCATAGTCACAAGAATCTTCTTCACTGTATGGGCATCACATAACAGAAAGACTCGTCAATTTTTAGAACCCTTTATGGAATTGATTTGCACAACTTCTTACAGCAATGATCTTTAAAGGGATCTGGAACATATTTTGCCCACTGAGATGAGGGTGTGACAATAGGTAGAAATTCTTTAGGCATGAAGGTTGGACCTTTTTATCATGGACTTTCATGAAATGAAACTTGCAATAGAAAAAGCTACACAGAAATACAGCATGAAAGAATAAAAGCATTCACACACAGCCATAAAACAAATTCCTTGCAAGACCCTATGTAAGCTACAGCAGTGTTTCAAGAAACATTCCAGTGCACTTTTGCATTTCCAGACCCACTCCAGATCTGGTCAACAAATACAATAAAAACAACTAAAGCCATCATTAAGTCTATATTTGTGGTATGATGCAATCTGCTGGTGATAGATTTTTAAGGCAGAAACCATCTCCTCATAGGTTCTGGCATTTCAGACAAGTTAACTTAGCAGAAAGGGTGGCAAGTTTGCTTAAGCCAAGCAATAAAAATGGCAGATTATTTCTGCAGCTGATTAGAAAGGTCTATTTTATTCTGAATCCACTTAACCATGTTAAGAAATGTCTAAAAACACAACAAAACCATGCACAAAGTACGTTACAGTTGTATATGCTACCACTGCAGCTGCCCTGATTGATTTTTCATTCATTTCTACCTAGAATGCTGACGCACTAACTCAGTGTGCCAGGTAGGGTCTCTGCAGTCAGCAGAGCTGAGCGCTGCAGGGAAATTCTCTGCCAGGCTCTGAGTAGTAATTAGGCAAATGAAGACCTGAAATAGAAAAGGAGGCATAAAATACAAGAAGTTTTATATAGAGGGCTCAGGCTGATCTGTGTTTTGTAGCTATAATTTTAATTACCCTGATTTCTTGAAATAAAATAGATAGTTATTTCCCAACTTCACTTTTCAAGACTAGGATATTTTTTTTCAGTCTTCAATTAGAGACAGCATTATTCATAGGCTTCCTCTCTAGTGCAGGGAGAATTATGTTTTTTTCCTGTGTCTTTCCCAGAGCTAGAAGCACATCAGAGCTGCAGGGTGCTCTTGGTCAGAACCTGGGTCACCAGCTGAGCTTTCCAAGCAGCCCCTGTCTTTAAGCAGACTCAGGCACTTATGCACCTCAAATCTGGATATCAGAACTATTGACAAAAATGCAGAAATGCTATTGCCTTCTTTCATAGCAGCACATGCATGTTACTTGCCTGCCCTTCCATTCCTCCAAGCGAGTTCGGGTGGGAGCTCAAAGCCTGTTCAGCATCCCTCACTGCAGAGTGCCTAAAGGTAGGACAAGTGACAGCTGCATGCTGCTTTCCAGGTGGTCCATGCTCTGTGACTCCACGCTCTTTGGCCACTCCCTCTTTCCTGGAAAGCCTGGCAGCCTGATGACCTCCATTTCGGAGAGCAAGGGCAGATGTGGCTCCCTCTAGAGCACATCAGCCTGAGTCTGAGAAGACGAGGGGGGTCACATGCGGCAAGTGGAGTGAAAATGCACTGTTCTTCCCTCACATATCCCAGAACAGGCATATTTACTCTGAGAGGGAAAAATGCTGCCTGTCTGGAGTATTTTTATCTACTTATTTTTGGCAGCTAGCAAACAACAGACAATTCTTTCTCATTGGTTGGTCGAGAGTTTTGATTTGGAAAGTCTGGATAACAATGAGGCTTTGATTTTAAAGATCCCACGCAAAGCCCGTGGGGGTGTACCCACCACAATCTGCACCTTGGAGATGCAAAAGCCATGAGACTACACAGGGGCTCTGCAGACCTGCTTGTGAGCGTCTCAACCACTCGTCATTAGAGCTTTGCACAAACCTCCTGACACAAACCTGCTCTTTTCTCTGTCACTGGTGAAACAAAACAGCTGCATTAGCCAGACGACTAGGAGCACTACTCTCCTGGGAGACAGCATTCCCATCTCCCCCAGTCTGTGCAAGCACAGGGACTAGAGTTCAATGCTGGAACAAAAAAGCTTTATCTTCTGGACACACAAGCGGAGCACCCCACACATGGCCTCCCTCCTTTGTCAAGGTCACATTAATGTTATGGAGAAAAATCCTCCCCTTAGCAACTATTTCTTTGGGGTGATGGCCATCAGACAAACAGAGTTAGTGTTTTGCACTGAGCTGCCATGCACAAAGATGTTTCAGAGATATTTAATTTCCTTTACTCTTTACTCTGTGCTCACCTATTCTGTAACCATGTCACACAAGCAGGATGAGAGGCAAAGTGACGTTGGATTCATTCATTCTTCATTTTCTTCAACTTTATGGATAAAGATCATAGAATCATAGAATAGCTTGGGTTACAAAAGACTTTAAAGTTCACTAAGTCCAACCACAACCAAACCATACTACCCTGACTCTATCAACCCTCCACTAAATCATGTTCCTGAGCACCACATTCAAACGGTTTTAAAACACATTCAGGGATGGTGACTCAACCACCTCCCTCAGGAGCCTATTCCA